TCTTATTGTGGTGGGGAGACTCTTCCTGAACCAGATCAGGCCTAGGCACAGGAAGCAGGCAGGGGCTAAGGGGTCTGCATAAACTAAGGTTCCGATTGTGTGGGGAATGAGCTGGGTGGGGGCCAGCTATGAAGTGACCGTTAGGAGTAAAGCATTGTGACCACATGCCAAGAGCTGCAGTGAGTCACTTTAGCACTCAGGGTTCTCGGTGGAAGATATGCCCCTCAAAACGTGGGGACCTGGCCTCCTGGGCTAGCCATCTATGTGCTGCCCGGTCTCTTTTTATCACGGTTGGCTTTTATTTCCTTGCCCTTCTCTGCTTTATTCTCCCACAGATCTTACAGAAGCCACCTCAGTAGTTAGACCCAATGGAAGTGGAAGTGGAGGATAGCAGACTGGGCCAGGTGTCTCCTCAGCCTTTCTCCCGTGTCCACGACCCGCCTTCCCTTTTGAGGAAGGGGCCGATACAGTCCCTCGTCCCTTGGTCAGTCCTTCCTGGAGAGTCTCCCTCAGGTGCCCTTCTGCTCTGGCTAGTGGCCTTCAGAGTGGGATTGGGCTGGGGGCTGTTGCTCCCTGGGGTGGGAATCAGAGGGAATACAATTTCTCTCCCACCTTCTTCCTCTGTTTTGGTGGGTTGGAGGGCCAAAAGCTTGACAGTTAGTGTTTTATTATCAGCAGGTGTTCAAGATGCCCCGTAACCAGAGCCCAAGTTCGGGCCTTCCTTCGTGCCCTCACCTGGAGATGAACCCTGGAGTAGCTCTTCTGTTCCCTAGGGTCAGCCTGGTGTCAGGGCTGCCTGTCCTCCCTAACTGAGCCTGAGGATGGCGGTTTAGCAAACTCAGGGGGAATTTTAAACCCACAAGGTTATGGCTTCCTGCAAGGAAGTGGGGAGTGTATCAGTAGGAAGCGCTAAATTAGGTAACCAGGGCATCCTGTCCTCCTCAGTGAAACCTAGACCCGAGAGAGTGTGAGATGTCATTCCCTAGAAGTGACCTTAGGGGACATGGACGGTAGCCAGGAGAGAGGACAAGGAGTGGAGAGAAGTCCTGGGCCGAAGGACTGAAGTCTCAGGAAGCAGGTTTGAGCCTCAGGCTTGATCTCATCCATTTAGGATGATTTCCTCCCCATCAGACCTGTCAAGACCTGATTCCTGCTTCTCTCCTCCTCCAGACCATGCCTCCCGCCACCCACCCTCCGCTCCCCCATAGTGTGGCCACACTCCTCTTCTGAGTCGAGCTCTGACTTGAAGCTTATCTTTCAACCTCCACTTTTGTCTCCCTGCACTCCTCCTCCCCTGGTATCTCCTTAGGCCCCACTCAGTTTTTCCTAGACAGCCACTGGATTTTAGAGTCCTCACTGGGGGAGGACACTTGGAGGTCACTCACGTCCCTCCAGGGCCCCCCCAGCCATGACTTTAGCAGGTGCCCCGTTGGGAATGCATATTTTGAGTTAAACTGGTGGCTGGTGACTGGGGCCTAGCAGTCGAGCTTCTAGCCCCTCAGCTTTCTAACCCGCAACCTGCCAGGTTTCTTGTCTTTCTGGAAAGTGACTTTGTATCCAGATTTTTTTTTTTTTTCTAGAACCTCAGGTTCCTTAGAATCCCCGCCCTTCCTTAGACTCAGAATTCAGAGGGCCAGAAACTGGTTCAAGTCTGGAGAGCACATCCCTCAGTGGACCTATGTTTTTGGACTTGGGTAGTCACTGCAGATGTTGTGTTAAATAATTTTCACGTTTTCACTGGGGTGTTTGATTTGTTCTGGTTTTCACTGTGTCTTTTAAGCTATTTCCACTATAAAATATTTGGTACCTATGAAAGAAAATATATGACGTATCTAAGGTATAAAGGGTAAGAAAACAAACACTGTGTACCCACCAGCCACTGTGTTTTTAAGCAATTAACAGTAATATTCAGTTCCTTTGCCCTCGCGTGTCCTTTCCTGTTTACCCTCAGTGGATTAAGAACAGTGGGAAGAGCAGCTGGAGAGCCTTGAGGGTCATTCTGTGCCCTTCTCCACAGAAGCAGCCCTGGGCCTACATCCGTCTAGTGGAGTTCAGGCGCTGACCATGAGTGTTACTTTTGTAACAGGAAAGCTGTACAGGACACAGTTTATCCCTCAGGACACAGTCCATCCCTGCCCCCATCAAATGGGATGTCTAAATATTTAAGATGCATTTCCCCAGAGGACCTCTGACAGCTTTGGTTTCCTCTTCTGGGCATTTCTGTCTCCCTCGTCCCTTGCCCTCCCCAAACCTAAAGATCAACAATGGTTCAGGTAGTTCCAGGAGTCTTCTTTGATTTTCCATCCTGCTCCATTTTGTCTGGCTCCTACCAGCTAAATATCTAGAGATAAACCAGACTTCCCAGGTCGGCCTGCCAGGGTTGGCCACAGAGGAAGAGGACAAGCCACTTTCCCTCTTCCCCGGAGCCACTGGACATGAATTATGGTTGCTTGTAGTCTCCACTGTTGAGTTTATAATCCAGTGGAATATTAATATACGCAAATATACAAAACATATTATAAACTCAGAGTAAGTTAATACATTTAACTATTATCTCGGCATATGCAACTGATGAATCACTGACCTCTACCTCTGAAACTAATAATACACTACAGGTTAATTAAATGAAGTTAAATAAAATAAATAAGTAAATAACTATTATCCTGGCAATTAATTGGAAGGAAAAAAATTTCCTTCATTAGCTTGAGTGAAAGGAAAATTTACTGAAGAGGCACGGGGAGATCTCTTGGTCCCTGATTTTAGGACACTTAACCATGCCTCACAGCAGCTGGAAAGATGGCTCTTACTCTGGGATCTCAAGATCACTCCTTTATGGCCCTCACGCCGACCTGCTGGCCAGTTTGCTTCTGCTCCCATAAACCATTAGCTGGCATGTGACTTTGGCTTGCCTTATGGTTCACTCTGACTAGCTCTGTGTGACCTTTCTAGCTAAGTACCCTCTGTTATCCAGTGAAAGTCTCTATGGCAGTTTCTTACCTGGGGGTCCATGCTTCCCTTGAACACCCATGTTTAGAAATTCAAGGTTTCGGGGCACCTGGGTGGCTCAGTCAGTTAAGCATCTGCCTTTAGCTCAGTTCATGGTCTTAGGGTCCCGGGATTGAGTCCCACACTGGGCTTCCACCTCAGCTTGGAGTCGGCCTGTCCCTATCTCTCTGCCTTTCCCCCCGCTCATGCTTTCTCTCTTTCTCTCTCTCTCAAATAAATAAACCTTAAAAAAAGAAAAAAAAAATTCAGGATTTCATGAATTGGATGGGGTGAGGGGGTGGAATTGCAGCCTTATCTTCAGTAAACTGTAACTGAAATTTGGCATTTCCTTCTATTATAAATACAAGGAAGACCCACTACTGCATTAGCGGCATCTATGATTTTTGTCACTGACAGAAATCACAGATACTTTCCGGTCATTTTATAGTGGCTGCTGATATCATGGGATATAGCTTATGTTCATCACTGTTTGAAATTAGGACTTATTAAAGCCACTAGATCTTGTCATTTAATGTATTCATAAAGAAGCATATATATTATCACAGCACTCACGTAAAAAATATTTGAATAACAACACTTCGATTCATTGGTTTTCTTTGTAATAATCTGTGTTTTATTGTATGTATTTGAAAAGAGTCCTCAGGCTTCGCTAGACTGTGTAGGAGTCCGTGACACCCAAAAAAGGCTAAGAATCCATCCTGTGTGGCTTTTGGGTCACAGACCTGATGGAGATAATCTGATTGGTCTAGGGATTGGGTTCTCTTGGGTCATGTGTTCACCCTTGACCTCATTAGCTGAGGTCAGGGGATGTGGGTTATGCAGCACAGATTTGACCCCCTCATCTTACCCTTTTTAATGGGGCACTGTGGGTGAACAGGACACATTTCCAAAGAAGGGGGCTTAACTGAGCTAGCTGCCTTAATTTACTTTGAAGCCTTTTGAATTTGATACAGAGAACAGTTTTCTTCCATAGCCATATTGTACCATCTAGCTAGGAAATCCATGCTATGGGTGCACCTGGCTGGCTCAGTTGGTAGAGCGTGCAACTCTTGATCTCTGGGTTGTGAGTTCAAGCCCCATGTTGGGTGTAGACATCACTTAAAAATAAAGTCTTTCAAAAAAATGTGCTATTGATCGTCAAAGAAACCAGTAGAATGTGGATAGATCAATGTGAATCCAGAAAGAGATCTACTGATGGTTTAAGTGGTATCGTATTAGTATGGCAAGGAAACACAGTTTGTATTTGGAATAATAGTAAAATTTTAATGCTGAGTGAAAAAAAAAAAATTCTCCTCTTCTTCCCACCAGGATCATGGATCCTGGGAGAGGCAGTCTTTCCAACATGCGTTTTCTCCAAATTATAGGTTCCATGTTCAATCTGTCATAGATGGGCTGGGCGTATTCTTCCAGGATATGCAATCTTTGTGCCAGGAAAACAACACAGTACTCACTATCTGCTCAAAGAGGGGCAAGGGAGTTTAGTGCTGAGGACACGCATTCTTCTAACCTGGGGCTGAGTTAGGAATTTGAGTGCAGAGATTTCCAGACAATCTCCTTTTCCTGGGACAATATCACACATATTTAGCTGCACAATCTCATTCCCTGCCTGACACTGTTTCTCCTTGCTGGTTTTCCTGCATTCACGCCAATAATTCTGACAGATCTGGTAGCAGTGATTTCAGCTGGGGGCTGTTAGCTGGCCGGTTCTTATAGATCTCCCTCCTATTTTCAACTCAATACCGTGGTCCGAATTAAAGGACCTGTCTTTCCTCTGGCCCCACCTTCCAGACGCACCCCATGGCATTGCCTGTGCAGGCCTCCAGCACAGGTTAAGAGGAGAGAATTTGGGGGCAGGGTTGGGACATAGCTGACAAGGACGAGAAATCCTGCCCGCTTTTCCACTGTTCTCGGGGCAGACTGGGCATAGACCTATATCACAGAACTGAGCAGATTTCGCTGAACCCACAATCATTCATTTCTTTCTTTGGTCCTAGAATAATCTGGCTCAGAGAAGGTGCCAAGTAAGTGAATAAATATATTTGTTTCTGTGGCTTGAGATTTTTTTCCTTGATCCTGCTTTTGGGAATTATCTCCTGCTATGAAGCAAGGATTTATTTATTCCGTGTGCATGCGTGCGTGCGTGTGCGTGCGTGTGTGTGTGTGTACACTCCCTTGTTTATTTAATAAAGAATTTAAAGCAGCTTTTTAAATAATCCTTTGAATCTTATTATCTCCCAGTTGCAGTCCTGGGAAACAGTGTTCCCTTTACCTATTCCCAGAGAGCTTGGAGCAGAATGTACTTACTGGAGTCTGATTCAGCATCCCCAGACCTCAGGCTGCCTTAACAGCAAACGGTCTTTGGGATGAAGTCAGGCTCAGTGATAGAGAACCTCAGACTGTGGGAAGCTGCCCTCTGAAAATCTCAGGGCATTGAACTTGAAAGGTGCTCAGGACACAGATCTCCAAGTCTACTTATTCCTTCTCTGCAGGACTTAAGGAGACTCCCTTCTCCCTCCCCGACCTCCAATCCCACCCCCTCCCCAAGTCAGTACATCCTTTGCTCAATACCAGTAGGTTTTGCTCCTATGAGCTGATATGAAGAGCTTTAAAACAAAAAAAAAAAAAAAAAGGGAGCCAGATACGGCTTTGAGGTTGTGCTGTGTGCCCCAACTTAAACCCTGCTGGGTCGTGGGAATCTAGGGCTGTAGAAGGAAGAAGAACTAAGAAGTCCCCAGAGTTCCAGCCTCTTGCTTTTTGGATTCAGTGAGAGATTGGCAATCCAGGGCCCAGATCTTTAACTGGGCTCACCAAAAGAAGGTCCTCAGCCAGGACTGGGGTCAACTTCCATCCCAAAGCTCTGCAGCAAACACAGATTATAGGCTCTATGAGGCCATGTCTGTGCCCCCAGACTGAGTGCCCAGCACGTACCACAGAGCCTGGCACATAATAGACTCTGGGTAAATATCTGCAGAATGAACCTGAACTCTAGGAACGCACAGCCTGGTCGAGGAGATGGAAAATGAATTAACAAATCAACCACTGAAAGTTATTGTAATTGCTTTGAGGGAAAAGAATAGACTTCTCTAAGGGCAGACACTGGATGATGTGATCGGGGGCCTGTAGAAGTGGCATTTAAACTGAGACCTGAAAGATGGGATGGGACCAGCTTTGAAGCCAGCGGAGAACAGAGATCCAGGAGATGCCGGGGGACGGAGATCTAGGAGATGTTGGTGAACAGAGATGTAGGAGGTGCCCCTACTGCCGGCCAGCTAGAAGTCATGCCGAGGAGGAAGTCTGCACGCCTGTGTTTCTAGATTCTTGGAGGCAATTAATAGACGAAAAGGAGGGTCTACTGTTGGTTCCTGGTTAGCGTGTTCACCACGCCCCCCTCCCACCCTGTTCCTCACATATCCAGCTTTGTTTTATAATGCTCTAGACTTAGGGTTATTGACTGGGAATCAAAGGCTCCAGTGTGTGCTGGCCAGGAAGAACAATTATTTGTTTATGCGTCTGGCTCCTCCACTAGACAGTGAGCTTCTTGAAGGCAGTGAACTCCATCTTATCCTCAGGACAGAGCGTGCTCTATGGCGGAGTCCACAATTTGGTTGAATGGCCGAGTGAATCGTACTGCTGATAGCTGTTGAGCGCTTTCTATGTGTCAAGCAGCGGAACAGGCCCCTCCCATGTACTAGCTCATCCTCGTGATGACTCAGTAATGCAGTCGTGGTGTTATTCCCATCCTGTCACTGGAGAACCAAAGGCTCATTAGCAAGAGAAAGTGATGGATTTGGGATTTGGGCGGAAGCACTCGACTCCAGAGCCCATACTCTCCAGCTGAATTAAAATGCTTCTGGTTGCCTTCAAGGAGCAGAGATTGCTTGGAATGCTCAAGGGAATGGGACTAACACATGATCTCATTTAACACTTCTCCCAACAACCCTCATCAATAAGAATTATTTTGCTTGTTTTATAGAGAGAAAATTGAGGCTCAGAGAGATTAAGTCATGGGGCGCCTGGGTGGCTCAGTCAGTTGCGTGTCTGACTCTCGGTTTTGGCTCAAGTCACAATCTCTTGGTCATGGAACTAAGTCCCACCCCCCCACCCCCTGCTGCCCTCCCCCACCCCACCTTGAGCTCTACCCTCAGCACTCAGCACGAATCTGCTTCAGATTCTCTCTCCTGCTCACTCTCTCTCTAATAAATAAATAAAATCTTCTTTTTTTTTTTAAAGATTTTATTTATTTATTTGTCAGAGAGAGAGAGGGAGAGAGAGCGAGCACAGGCAGACAGAGTGGCAGGCAGAGGCAGAGGGAGAAGCAGGTTCCCTGACGAGCAAGGAGCCTGATGTGGGACTTGATCCCAGGACGCTGGGATCATGACCTGAGCCGAAGGCAGCTGCTTAACCAACTGAGCCACGCAGGCGTCCCAAATAAAATCTTCTTAAAATATTTAATTAATTTGTTAATTTGAGAGAGAGAGAGAGAGAGAGAGTGCACAAGCAGGATGAAGGGCAGAGGTAGAAGCAGACTCCCGCAGAGTGGGGAGCCCGATGTGAGATTTGATCCTGGGATTCTGGGATCATGACGAGAGCCGAAGGTAGACCCTTAACTGACTGAGCCACCGAGGTACCCTAAATAAAATCTTTTTTAAAAAAAAATTAATTTTAAAAAAGAGAGATTAAGTCACTTAGCTAAGATAATAAAACGAATATGTAAATGGTGATCTTATTTTCAGAGCCAGGCCCGCAGGACTCTAGAGCCTATGCTCTGTCCCGGTTCTGTGCTAACTCCAGTCACTCGCTCACTGGGCACGGATCTGCCAGGCTCACTGTGTTAATGTCCTATAAATGTTTTTCAGGCCTGTTGGGAGCCTGAGAGTCTCTTCCTCAAAGAGGAAACAGAGTGGAGAATGGGAAGCGGATAGGGGGAGGGCAGAGACTTTATCTTTTTAAAAAAAATCCTTTTAAAAAATTGAGTTATAATTCTTGTACCATAACATTTACCAGAAGCGTGCAATTCGCTGGTTTTGCTCTATTCACAAGGCTGTGGAGCCATAGCTACTATTTTAATTCCAGAACCTTTTCATCGCCCTGAAAAAAAAGAATCCCCGTACTAATCTGCAGTCATTCCTTATTTCCTCCTACGCCCCCCAGCCCCAGCTCTTGGACGCGCTAATCTACTTGGTCTCTACATAGATTTGCCTATTCTGAATATTTTACACAAATGGAATGATACAAGATGTGGTCTTTTGTGTCTGGCTTCTTTCACTTAGCATTGTGTTTTCCAGATTCATCCTCTGAAGGATGAAGTATCGTCCTTCATTCCTTTTTTTTTTCTTTTTAAGATTTTATTTATTTATTTGACAGACAGAGATCACAAGTAGGCAGAGAGAGAGGGAGAGACAGGCTCCCTGCTGAGCAAAGAGCCCAATTCGGGGCCGAACCCAGGACCCTGGGATCATGACCTGAGCCGAAGGCAGAGGCTTTAACCCACTGAGCCACCCAGGTGCCCCTTCATTCCTTTTTATGGCAGAATAATATGCCATTATATGGGTCTCATGCCTTTTGTTTATCCATTCATCAGCTGATGGACGCTTGTGCTGTTTCAACTCTGGGGTTATTTTGAATAATGCTGCTGTGAACATGCGTGCACAAGTTTTTGTATGAACATATGTTTTCAGTTCTCTCTGGTGGAGACCTCGCAGTGTAATTGCTAGGTCATATAGTAACTTTACCCTTAACTGTTTGAGGGACTGCCAAATTGCTTTTCAGGGTAGTTTATCTTTTATTAATAAATGTCTTAACTTGAAGTATAAGATATATACAGAAAAGTGCCCATATCATCAGCGTGGGGCTTGAAGAATTATTACAAAGCACACATGGCCACATAATCAGTACCCCGCCAGGAACTAGGAAGTTTCCAGTACTCAGTACGTACCACCTCTGAAGGATAAGTACTGTCCTGGCTTCTGATGTGATCAATTATTGTGGCCCATTTTGAGCTTCATAGGAATGGAATTCTATGGTACATACTCCTTTGGGTGTGACTTCTCTCCCTCAACGAAACGTTCACAAAGTTTCTCCACGTTGCGGGGACCAGCGCTGTGTTCCTTTTCATTTCCGGATAATAGATCATTGTCAGACCACACCACAATTCATTTATGTGTTTGCATTCGGGTGTGTACATAGACTTGGAAGGGTTGTTTCACGGTTATACACGTTTTCAGACTTAGTAGAGACTGCCGAACAGTTTTCCAAAGTGACTGTGAACTTGGACTCACACAAGAACTCTCTGAGAGTTCTGGTTGTACCACATCCTTGGCAACACTTGTATCATCTGCCCCTTCCCTTTCGGCCATCCTAGTAAATATGCGGCCGTGCCCTAGTTTCATATTGATTTTTAAGAGTTTTTCATGTATTTGCCGTTGATTCTGGAAACGAGTCCTTCGTTGGTTGTGTCCATTGCTGGCAAACCCTCCCGTTCTGTAGCTTGCTGTTTTGCTCCTAGCGGTGTCTGCTGATGAGCAGAGAGGTTCCTAATCCTAGTGGGGTCCAGTGTATCAGTCTTTTCCCTTGTGATTTGTGTCCCATTCAGTCTTTACCTACCTAAGGTCATGAAGATCCGGCCCTTATCACGAGTGTATGTATGCGTGTGTGTACATGGGTGCATATGGGGAGGCAGTGTATCCCCCTACAGAGTAAGATTTCTGGGGTGGACGGGACATGGTGTCTCCCTACAGGGAGTAGGTAGCAGGCAGGGTGGGGGCGTCGGGGGAAGCCCGTGAGATGACAGCCACCACGGGCTTGTGTTCCCAGCTGTCAAGCGTGTAATCTGGAGTGAAAGAGAATCCCTTTAGTGGTACGGGTCCTACAGAGAGTACTAGCAGATCCTCTAAATCACTTCTGTGCCCCGGGGACCCAGCTGACTCTCCTCTGTTCTCCCCTCAAATGCGGGGGCGGGGTGGGGGGGCAGGGGGATGAAAAAAAAAAAAAGGAAGAAAGAAAGAAATTTACACTCCCGAAC